TAATTACTGAGTTAGACAGAGCAGGACAGGACAGGCGGGCGGGCACAGGCACAGGCCCGGCAGCCTCAGCAGCCGTCAGGCAACATTTTTCTGCCCCCTCTCCACACCCCCCTCCCCCATCCCTATCCCCATACAGCCCCCACCCACAGCCCCAGGGCTCAGGGCTCCCTCTGCTGGCTCTTGGGAGGTGGGGTCAGTGTAGGGACCTTGGGAGTGGGGCGGGAACATAGAGCAAGGCCACCTGAGAGACCCCACGGAGGAGGCTGGTTACCCACAGGGTCTGGGACCCCTCTGCTCTCAGTGACAAACCAACAGTGTCGGGTGTGGACAGGGAATGGTTCTAGAGGTGCTGCAGGTCCCCAGGCAGGGCTGAAGGACTAGGAGACAGGGATCTAGGCTGAGAAGTGAAGGCAGAGAGTTGGGTAAAACAATGCTCTCAGGAATCCCCGAGTGCTGCCTGTGGCCTACCTGGCACTGTGCAGGCCTCACAGCTGGATAGGGTCAGAATGGGAGGAGCAGAAGCACTCATTGAAATCCACCTGGACAGGTCTTTGCACATGTAACTAGGGAAGATGGCAAGTATTATCATCCCTGTTTTCCAGTTGAGGAAACAGAGGCTCAGAAGATGAAGTCTCACCATACACTCAACAAATACTAAATGCCAACTTCACTTGCTGGGGACTCAACGTCACACAGCAAGCAAATGGTGGCACCCAGATCCAACCCCACATCTGCTGGATCCTAAACCCCAAGAGGGCTCTGATGATGACATCATGCCCACGTGTGAAATTTTTCTATTTAATAAGTTTTCTCCCTAATTGAAGAGATAAGCTGAGTAAATATGCTGGCAGGATAACAAGGATCCCCAAATGAGTGATATTTGGGGGATACATCTGGGCAAGGGCTGGGGCTTGGAGAGGCTCCTTCCGGTCAGAGGGATTGGAGATGAGCTCAGAGAGATACTGGCAAAGATTTTGATGAATTAGGGGTAAAGAGGGGGTGACTGAGTCTAGAAATTGAGTGCTGTGTTCCAGGAAGGATGCAGAACCCTGCCGGAAGGAAGGGGCCACCCAAGGTCTTCCCACATTTCAGGCAGCCCGTTCCCTCTAGCCTGTTTAAAAATCTGTTGATTTTTAAAAACCATAACTTTTCTTGCAGTTAGGGATCCCTCCACCCTGTAGCCAGGGTGTGTCACCTCTCTTCTTGTATTACTCACCTGTAACAGGGCGAGGTGAGTAGGATCACTCTACATGGCCTTCGCATTACCTTTGGCCCTCTGATCCAGAGGTGAAAAAGTAGGTTGGGTCAGGACCCTGGGGCCTCTGAGCCTGAAGTCAACAGATGCTGCCTGTAGGAATGGGCTGGCTCTAGACACCACTTCACTGGGCTACTGATCCTGCCAACCACTGTCCATGGAAGGGAGCTCTCAGTGCAGACCAAGCCAGTTAGAATGGCCAGCTGCAGGGTTGTCCCTTCTTGTCTGCATACTGAGTTCTTTTAGGACTAGCTTCATTTTTTTCTATGCCCAGGAATGGCAGTTTGATTACAGCTGCAAATCCCATATATTATACATCACGTACCAGCACTGCACTTCAGATTCTAATACATGCATATTCCCCCAAAGGAACACATCTTCTGAGGGCCAGTCCGGGGTGCATGCTGACCCAGAGGCCCCAAAAAAGCAGAGTTCATTCTTGAAGGAAGCAGAAGGAAGGTAAAAGGAGAAGACACTTGGGAGTTGGTTGTGGACATAGAGTTGAATGCTAAAGTTGGGGGTGTGGGCCTCTTGTGCTAGTGCCTCACTTTTCTGAAGCCCAAAGAGGTACCTAACTTGTCAGGAGTAGCTGAGCCCACCCAGAGCTGATAGAAACCAGGGTTCATAAGCATGGCTGGGGGTTTTGCTCAACACTCCCTTCTGGAGTTTCATTTCCTATCTATTTAGAATAGGAGCAAGGACAGCAGGGCAGGGAACAAGCTAATCCCCTGAGATTCTAGCTGCTACCACTGCCCATCCCTCCTCCTGATCAGCTCATAAACAACTCCAGTTCCCAGGAAGCCAGCCAGCCTGGGAGCCAGACCCAGAGCGAGACCTGGCTCAGGGGGCAGCCTCTCAGCCCTGTGAAGGGCCAGCCCCACCTCCTGAAGGGTCTCGCTCTTCATACTCTCCACGAGTCTTCTCCTATCTCCAGCCCCTGGAAAGCAGACAAGGTCAAGAGGGTTTTGCCTTTCCCTTGCTTGTCCTCACTCCTTCTTGCTTTCCTCATGAAGGAGGAGGGAGAGGAGAGGGATGGGGAGGTTGACCTTGGGAAGATAAACCAGTCAACCTTGGGAAAGTAAGGAGTTAGCAGAGGGCAGGGTTGGGGGCAGGCTGAGAACTTAGCAGAGGCCTCAGGGATGGGAAGGTGAGTTTGCAGAGCCCCAGACAGCCAGGCCAGCCAGGAAGAGGCCTAACACACAGGTGGCAGCAGGGGAGCAGGACAGCCGCAGAGGCCTTTTCCCTGCCTCAGGATCCCAGGGGCAAAGAAAATGTTTGAGGAAGCAAATTGAGAGTCATGAAATAGTATGTGGACAGGGGCCTGGGCTCAAGGGAGCAAATTCTCCTTAGATAGCTTGTTCATTCATTTAGAAACATGCATTAAATGGTGTTTATCGTGCGATTCAGTGTCACTTGTTATTCATATGTAATGTAGAATTCATAATAGGCAGATTTTCATAGTAAACACTGGGGGGGGGGCATTAATTAGGTGCCTAAAAGTCTGAAGTCTGCCAGGGGAGAAAAAGAAATATATGAAAGCCTAACTCTAAAGGAGCTCATAGTCTTATCTACCAAGCCTATACACCATGCTAGAGGCTGCTCAACCCCCCCCCCCTTTAAGTCAGAGTTATACTCTGTAACTCAGACTGGCCTGGAATTCATGATCCTCCTGCCTCAACCTCCTGATTTGCTAGAATTACAGGTATGTGCCACTATACCCAGATTCAAATACTGCCCCCACTGTGGTACCGAAGATTGAACCCAGGGCCATTGCACTGAGCTAAATTCCCAGTTGGTTTTTTTTGTTGTTGTTTTTTATGGTACAAGTTCTTTTTATTTTTTTTTTTTGAGAAGGGTCTCACAAAGTTGCTAAATTGCCAAGGCTAGGCTCAAATTTATGATCCTTCTGCCTCAGCCTCCTTAGTGCTGGGAATATAGGCATTTGCCAACATGCCTGACTCACGTCCTTTTTATAGGTGAGGTGGCATAGGTAGATGGAGGAGGCACAGATAAATGCATGGACAGGTAAGCATAGGTCAACTCTCTAAGATCACTAGGTCACCTGAACCAGCCTGAGCTGGCCTAGCCTTGGCCCACTTGATGACCTGTCACCTCTCTAGGTTTGTGAGAGTGTGGACACTGGTCCGGAGTGAGTCCTAAGCTCAATGGGAGAAAGATCTGGTACGTAAATCTCTCCACTGAGAACAGATGCCTGGTTCCCAAACTCTGGGGATAAGGATGATAACAGCAACCTGACCTGACCCTGCGTGTGTGTTTGTGTGTGTGTTAGGGACCTTTGAAGGACTGAACTTCCACGGGTCCCTACCAACACCTCTCCAAGCACCTGAGTATTGAGAGTTCTCCCTTAAGACCTAAATTCCTCTTGCTGCTATTTAAGACCATGACATCTCAGAACATGCCTGGGCAGCCTATGCTTGCTTGTGGAGCAAATGGGGACAGTGGGGTGAATATGCGTGGAAGCAAAATTGAAAAGTAGTCCACCTTGACCCATCCACAGCTACTTCCTCTGCATTTCTCTCCCCAGGCGCCCCTCCCTTCCATGCTGAGTTCTTTCTCTGCCCTCTGCTGGGGTGGTCTCAAATTACCCTAGCAAGCAAGCGTTCTGCCCAGGCACTCCTCTAAGACAGGGATCCCAGCTGAGTGTTCAAATCAGAGCCATCTGATTAAAGTGGTTCCCCCCAGGTGTGAATTCCTGGCTGACAACCTATGGAAGCCAACTGGCAGCTCTCTGCTCAAGTGGAATGAAGGCGGCACAGTGGAAGGGATTTCTAAGTGGGCAGGGAACTTCCCATGAGGTCTTTACCCACCAGTCTGCCTCCCCTTCCCCATTGCTCAGTTGGCTATGTCAACCCAGTGCACAGGCCTTGGCTTGCTGCCATCCTGCCCTGGGAAAGCCACGGACCTTGGAGCAGGCACAGGGTCAGTGTCACCTACTCCCCAACAGTGGTCTAGAGGCTCAGTCCCCAGCTTTTTCCTTCTGCTGCCCAATCTTAGTTGGGTGTAGCATGGGGAGAGATGTCACACAGGCCATCAGGGTGGAAGGGCCCAAACTCTCCCATTATATGGAGAAAAACTTGGCTAAAGTGAGGGTGTGGCTTTCCTCAGAGGCTTTGGTCCCTAGATATTCTGACTTCTCATGGCTTTTCTATATCCCTGAGATAGTCATTGCCTTTCATTAGTGCTATCTGGCACATCTAGCTTGTGGTTCACTAAGACCAGATCTTTCCTTGATACTACCTCTGTCCTTGGTGTCTGTGACACATGATTTCTTTGCTTCGACAGCCTTCTTGATCTCTCTTCTGCTAATTTCTTTCTTGTCTCCGTGTTGAATTTTAACCTTGTGCCAGCTGCCTTCAGCTTGAGTCAAGTTCCTATAAGGGGCTGGGGATGTAGCTCAGTTAGAGTGCTTACTTAATTGTGCAGATTCAATTAACAGGAAGGTTGTGTGTCCTCTAACAATTTATTAATAAAGATGTATGCAGAAGGATAAGGCTGAATCCTTGCTCTTTAGCAATTTTCATTCTAAAGTCTAGTTAAGAGGGGACACAGACATGGAATGGTAAGAGAACCGGATAGGACATTCCCAATCTCATTTGGGTGTAGGATGAGGAGAAATGACAGCTCCTGGCTGTGGTTGAGTGGGGTTGGATTCCTTCTCCTCTACCCAGTGCCCTTCTGTCCTTTTGGGAGTAACACCTGTGACTTGCTGTTCTCTGCTCCCCAGGGCCGTGGGCAGCCCCTTGGTCATGGACCCTACCAGCATCTGCAGGAAGGCACGGCGGCTGGCAGGACGGCAGGCCGAGTTGTGCCAAGCAGAGCCAGAAGTGGTGGCAGAGCTAGCCCGGGGCGCCCGGCTTGGGGTTCGAGAGTGTCAGTTCCAGTTCCGCTTCCGCCGCTGGAACTGCTCCAGCCACAGCAAGGCTTTTGGGCGCATCCTGCAGCAGGGTGAGTGTGGGGAGAGGACCAGGGGAAGAGGTGGTTTCTCCCCATGGGGGATCAGGGGATAGGGGAATAGGTTTGGGAGGCTGCCTGAGTCCCACCTCCTGGCCAATCTATGGGTACCTTGGCCCACCTATTGGGGGCTCCCCACACTGCACAGACCCTGTCTCTCAGGGGTTGCTGGGCTGCACTCGCCACAGGGCCCCAGCCCACCCTCGCAGGCCCCAGAGCCCAGGCTTTATCCTGTGTGCTGGTGCCCCTCCCCACATCTGCAGATATTCGGGAGACCGCCTTCGTGTTTGCAATCACTGCAGCGGGTGCCAGCCACGCAGTGACACAGGCCTGTTCCATGGGTGAGCTGTTGCAGTGCGGCTGTCAGGCACCGCACGGACGGGCCCAGTCCCGGCCCCCTGGCCTGCCAGGCACCCCAGGACCTCCAGGGCCCGTGGGCTCCTCAGACACCAGTGCCGCCTGGGAGTGGGGAGGCTGTGGCGACGACGTGGACTTTGGGGACGAGAAGTCAAGGCTGTTTATGGATGCGCAACACAAGCGTGGACGTGGAGACATCCGAGCTCTGGTGCAACTGCACAACAACGAGGCTGGCCGGCTGGTGTGTATGGGAGGAAGGGTGCAGGTGTGTGGGGAGTGTGTGGCTTGTGGGAGTGGCCATGTGTCTGTGGAGTGTGGGCATAAGGGTGCACAGGTGTGTTGTGTGTGAGAGTGACCAAGGCAAAGGGGGCACTTGGGAACTCTGGGAGGTGAGGTAGGTGAGCTGTGTAGCCTAGAAGGGGATGGCAGCGGTGGGGCTGGATGCTGAGTGGTGCAGTGGGCAGAGGGGAGGAGATATTCGGGGAATCAGACTGAGAGCCCTTAGGGACCCAAAGTCCGGAGTGCATACCTCTGAGGCACGACAGGTGGGCAAAGCTTGGGAGCGGGTGCACATCTGGACGCCAGGGCAGAGGTTGGACAGGGAGATGGGGGATGAAAGAAATGCTAGAAGCTGCAATAAGAGTAGGGAAGCCAGGGAAACTGAGGGAGGCCTTGAAAGGGGCTGGATGGGCAACCTGTCTTAAAATGGAGTGAAGAACCAGGAGCCAGTCTTGGTGGAGGTAGCAGGGGGTCAGGTGGAGGCCAGGAAAGCTGCTGCTGATTCTAGACTCTTGCCAACTAGCTGCACAGCAGGCCCAGTCCAGATCTCACCTGACCAGGGCCATAGCAGCTTCCCCCATTCCCTCTGCAATAAGAAGGCCCCAGGACCCTTGTTTAGGGGCAGGAAGCCTGCCTGAATCTGATGGTTCTAGCAGGGGAATGGGAAAGAGTTGTGGGGGGAGTCACACAAACCTGCAGTTGAGATGGCCACTGACTTCTGAGCCTCCAGTGATGGTTTTCCTGGGTCAGCTGACCCCATGCATCTCTAGTAAGGTTGACAATCTCAGGCCCCAGCTTCAGACACAAAAAGCAGATAAATTAAGGGAGGACTCCTGGGTTTGCTCTCAGTGGAACATTTCCACGGGCCCTTCTTCCTGCACCCTGTGCCTTAGTTCTAAAGCGCTCTAAGGACGCTGTCACACACGTCCTGTATCCTTCGGGTTCGGGCTGAGGCCTTGGGCAGCCCCCGGGAGGAGGGGGCCGGGAGAGGAATGTCCGGACAGGCCCACATACCTGTGTCTGCTCAGCCAGCCTGGGGCCGTGAGGGGCAGGAATGAGGAGGCCTGGGTTGCAGGAGAGCCAGGCTGCGACAGCTGCCACCTCTCTCCCTCTAGGACGAATCTCACCCCTGCCATCCGTTTTGCTTTCTACTCCCAATCTCTGGCTTTGGGCCCTGCAATCTGCACTGCGCACTATCCTCCCATTCCCCACTTCTCCACCTTTGTCATTATTCTTCTTCCCCGAGCTGTCTCTTCCTTGATGTTCTCCTCACTTTATGCCCTCCCTTTTAAATCTTTTTCCTCCTTGCCATTCACACCGCTCCGGCATCTCATTTTCTGTCCATCTTCTGGGCTTTTCCCTACCTGCACCCACCTACCCTCAACTGTCCCCATCCATCCTCTCCTTTGCTCCCCTCAGGCCGTTCGGAGCCACACGCGCACCGAGTGCAAGTGCCACGGTCTGTCCGGCTCATGCGCGCTGCGCACCTGCTGGCAGAAGCTGCCCCCGTTCCGCGAGGTAGGCACGCGGCTGCTGGAGCGCTTCCACGGTGCCTCACGAGTCATGGGCACCAACGACGGCAAAGCCCTGCTGCCAGCGGTCCGCACGCTCAAGCCACCGGGGCGCGCCGACCTCCTGTACGCAGCCGACTCGCCGGACTTCTGCGCCCCCAACCGGCGCACCGGCTCGCCAGGCACTCGCGGCCGCGCCTGCAATAGCAGCGCCCCGGACCTCAGCGGTTGTGACCTGTTGTGCTGCGGCCGTGGGCACCGCCAGGAGAGCGTGCAGCTCGAGGAGAACTGCCTGTGCCGCTTCCACTGGTGCTGCGTAGTGCAATGCCACCGGTGCCGCGTGCGCAAGGAGCTCAGCCTCTGCCTCTAACCCGCCGCCCGCCTCTCCAAACTGCGCAGAGCCGTATCTCGGCCCCTGTGGGACTCCGGGGTCCAGCAGGGGGCGCTGCCGGGCCCCAGCTGCTCTCTGGAAAGTCCATTTGACAGGCCTATGAGATGAGACCGGAAACTTGGAGTACACACGCTGGGTCTACGAAGATTCAGGGCACCGGAGGGCTCCTGGAAAGGTGTTCTGAGAGTTTCTGGGGGCGATTATACAGGCTCCCTCCCTTTGGCCCCTCGGGTGGAAACAAAAACTCCAGTCTCTAGGCCTCTGGAGACCAGACTCCTCAGAACTGCTGGCCATGGAATGGGTGGGTGAGGTTCTTATCAATAAAGATATTTAAACCAGTAGTACTGGACCCTCAGCTTGGGAGGAGGGCTGGCCTCTTGTGGGCTCTGTGTAAAGGGAGGTGGTTTCCATAGAACTCAGATCTCAGGAGTCATCACCCTGAGTCCTTGTCTCCCCTAACCAACCACCTTGGGCACTCTCCCTTGACCCTCTTTTGCTCCGTGTTGTCCCACATGGAGGCCTGGATCTGGGAAAGAATCGGCAGTTGATCTGTACAGGGACAAATGAGAGGGTCCAGTAAAAAGGGACAGGACCCCTTTGGTGGTGTGCTCAGCTCTTGGTCCAACCCTCACCTTAATTTTTAGGGGATTATGTCTGTTTCTGTGAGGCCTGGGGAACTCAAGGGGTGGACTTTCGCCCTGCCCATGTTCATGTGGTTAAAGTACTTTATGAATATGGTGAAACTAGGTGATTAGCCACACCAGCTTTGGTTACCACCAAAACTAACTTCACCCAGCCCCCACTCCCCCCACCTCCTTAGACCTGAAAAGACTGCCCGGGCAGCATTTCTAGTCACACTTGGAGAGGAAGCAAGGTTATCCTAAGGTTTCTCTTGGCACCCATCCACATGGTCTTCTCATTCCACTCTGGAAGCTGATGGTGAGGGTGAAGGGACACAGAGGATGTTCTGGGTTCTCCAGAAGTCCTTATCTTTATCCATAGCCCAACTGTGGGGATGCAGGGCCCCCATCTGCTCCCAAGCAGAACTCCCCAATGGGAAATGACTCCACCCATCAAGGTAGGTAGGGTGCATGAGCTTGGATTCAGGTGCTACTGATTAGAATTTTACAACTCGGAGCAACTTGGCTTCAGTTTCTCTACCTATACAATGAGGAGATCACAATGTTTTGGATCACCAGTCCTAAGAGTGTAAGCACAGAGTTGTCTATAGGGAATGTGTGCAGGAGGAGAGAATGAAGGCAAGTATTCAAAGAGAGGCAGAGATAAAGCAGAAACAATAGGTGTGGGAGGTGGGAGACTAGGGCAGGGGTTGAGAGAAACCTATGACATTTGATTCCCTGGGGCTAAATTCAGACTTAATGAATGGACTTCTCATTCTTTAATTCTCTTTGCCTACTCTAAAAGTTGGGTATCTCTCTTTGCACTCATGGCCTGCCCAATACCTGCAAAGCATCAGCTCTCTACCCCTATTCTCACAGTAACTACCATTTATTAAACATAAATTTGATATAAATAATGTGGTTATTTTTTTTTTTTGGTACCGGGGATCGAACTCAGGACCTTGTGCTTTTCAAGGCAGGCGGCAGAACCACTGAGCTAAATCCCTGGCCCTGATATAAATAATGTGTCAAATGTTGTGCCAAGTCCTTTCTATTAAAAAAAGAGCTTATTATCTTACTTTTATTTGTTTTTTGGTACTGGGAATCAAACTCAGGACCTTGTGCTTGTGAGGCAGGCGGCAGAACCACTGAGCTAAATCCCCAGCCCTATTATCTTATTTTTAAAAAGAGCTCCTAACCAGAAAGTCTGTGATGGTGTGAGGTGGATTATGATACCCTCCTATTGAAGGTAGAGTTTATTTCCCCTCCCTTGGAATTCTGTCTGGCTCTGTGATCTGTTTTGACCAATAAAGAGGGACAGAAATGCTATATAACTCCTGAGACTGTAACTATGTAACGTCTTCTGCCTTCAAATCTGGCACACTCTGTCTAGTCAGAAATCTAACTCTAGGGCTGGGGATTTAGCTCAGTGGTTCTGCTGTCTGCCTCGCAAGTGCAAGGATCTGAGTTCGATCCCTGGTACTGAAAAAAAAAAAAAGAAATCTAACTCTAAGGCCACCATGCTGTAAGGAAGCCCAAGACGGCTACATGGAGAGAACAAGACTACTAGAGAAGATCTAAGGTCTTGGACATAAAAATAAAACCTTTTGAACTGTCCAGCCCCAGCCAAGCCTCACCCCCAGCAAAAGGCAGCCACGTGAATGAAGCCAGTCAATGGGTCCATCATATGGAGCTCAACCACCAACTGATTTCTGACAAACGTCTGACCTAAGAATCCTGAGACGTAATTACTTTGGGATTGTTTGTTAATGCATCCATAGGCCATTGAAATAGGATGATCTCCCCATTATAAAGGTAGAAAAATTGAAGCCAGGTTGGTCTATGTTGTAAATTTCTAAGCAGCACCACCACCCTCAAACTGTCCCAAGGAGGTCTTGACTCATTCACCCAGCTCATTTGCCTGTCTCTGAACCAATAACAGTATCCAGGGAAATATACTACCATAGGATTGGCAGTCCCCGGGGCCACAGGGGATGAGGGCAGGAGAAGGGAAGCAGAATTCTGCAAATGGAGCAGAAGGAAAGGGACTTCATCCTGGACGTGACAGAGTCTAACCATGGCTTCCAGTACATCTGTCCTTCTCCCACAATGGCCTTGCATCCTCCCTGGGATCTAGCCAGGTTCAAGCCTCAAGCCCACCCTGGGTGGGAGGGGTGAGGCAGGCTGTCATGGGAAGGATTGGGCATCTGGGGTTTGATCTAGGGTTGGATTAAATGCCTGGTCTGCAGGGAAAGGTCATGCAGAATTTGAACTCAGAGCCTCTCTCCTCTATTAACTTTCCAAAGGAGAGTGAAACTCCCAGTCTGGCGGGGTTTGTATCTGCAGGTCGGCCTTCCCCCGTAGTTTGAGCTTTTTAACGTCCCGCAGTTATCTCAAGCACCACCAGAGGGCTGCAGAGTCCAGCTTCCCTATTAACAGGGAGAACGGGAAGATCAGGACATCTGGAGGTTGGAACTCAGAGCTTAGAGCTGGGGAGAGGAGGACTGGAAGGAAGCCGGAGACCTATTGACAGCTTGTTTTGGGCTGCTAGGGTTCCAGACTTGTGGGACCTCTAGGCTGGCCACACCTGGGCCTGGGATGCCAGCCTCCCAGTCTCTACTACTACTTTGTCCAGGTGTGTTGAGGAGGGGTGAGATGGGATGGGTAATGCTGGGTATCTTCCTGATCATGCCAGCGGAGAAAACTGGGACAGTGGCATGAAACAACACCACCCACGCAGGCTGAAAGAAATTCACAGGATGTAAATGGTACAAAGAAAAAGGTCCTAGTTTGTGAGCTTGATCTTGGTTGGGAGTTAACTTGCCTGAATCTTTGGCTTCCTACCACAAGTGAGGGATTCCTGATAGCTTCTCAGCGCACCATGAGTGTACACTGCAAACTTCAAACTCCCACCCACATATCAGTGATTCTCCTTCTGTGACCAAGTCCCACAGGAGTCTGGGAATGGCTTTCTGTGAAGGATGACAACGTTGGCCCAGAGACACCATTGGAACCATTACCCTTTAGGTTTAGAGATGGCTCTGTGCTCTCATTCTCGAAGTGCTGTCTGGGAAGAGGATCAGAAGCAGAGCTGAGAGGTGCCCCGCACCCCGCTCCTTCCTCACCCAGCTGCTCTGCCCCAGGCACAGTCAAAGTCCCCTGCTGGCTGAGCGGTGGGGGACATGTGGAACTGGGCAGAGAGGGGAAGAGCGCAGAGGCACCCCAGATGTATGAGTGAACACAGGGAAGGCAGAACACAGGCAGATGGGTGAGGAGGCTGGGTAGAAGGTCTAGCTTCAGCCCAAGGCCAAGGGCTCAGAAAGCATCTCCTTTTCTCTACAGAGACCAAGCATACTGGGAATGTGGAGAGCCAGAGCAGCAAGCTATCCCCTCTTACCTTGCCGAGGCCTGGACAACGGGACAAAGAGTCCCCCTTGTCCATCTGGGGCTCCTTTCCTCTCTTCTTCGCCAAGATAAACTTCTTTCCAGCTGAGCCTTAGACTGAGTGGGGACCGGACTGGACTAGGCCAGGGCTTTGAGGGTCCCACCTGTTCTTACCCTGGTGCCTCCCTCAGTCCTTCTTCCTTGACCTCCTCCAGAGCAGCCACAGCTGGAACCATTCTCCAAGCTGCCTTTCATCTTCTGTGCTCCCCCACCCCCAGTGGCCCCTGTAATTGTGGTCTCAGGCAGTGGGGCAGCCGCTGCAGCGGGGGCTGGGGCTGGGCTGAAGGCCAAGGCCCAGGGCAGAGCCAGGGTGGGGACTGGGGGCTGCTGATAGGGGCTTGGCCATGGAGTGGCTCATATGGGGCTGAGGCCCCAGCTGCACACTCTCTCTGAGCCTCATTTGCATACATGCCAAGACCCTGTGCTTCCACACACTCTCCCTTCCCTGGACCCAGACTTAGGCATTTTTAAACCTGCATGACATCAGGCCAGAACCACACAGGGAGCAGCACGAGTCTTGGAGATCCTTACTTGCCTCCTGGGGTAAAAAGAAGGTCTCTCTCTGTTCTGTATTTCATGAGCAGTGGGGGAGGGGGTAGCAAAGAGACCCTTCCTCATCAGAGAAAGGCCAAAGTGGCGAGGGGGTCTGCTGCTCAACCAGGTCAGCAGCATTTCCCCAAGGTGGGTGCTGCCCAGAGACTTGGGATAATATGATTAGAAATGCAGACCCCCAGGCCTCCTGCTGGAAAGGCTGATTCAGCTGCGTGGGGTCTGGAATCAGTATTTCCCATGAAGGCCTACCCCGGGGGACATGTACCACACACCCAGCATGGGAAACACTAGCACAAGCACTGTGCAGAAAACAAGGAGGTCCGCAGCCCACGTATGACCTCCTGTGTGGTACTGGGCCTGTTCTGGATCCTTCCTGGGCCTCAGTTTCCCCAGCAGTCAATGGGAGCTTGGCTTCCCAGCCTGCTGATGCCTTGTCCCACCCTGCCTCCTTCCTGCCTGTGTGGAGTCTAGCCTTACCCTGTCCCTACCCCCTTCCCAAACTCTTGATCAAGCTGTTTCTATCTTGTCCCTGCAGCATGGTGGGGGAGGATGGGGAGGGAAGGGGGTGGCTGGGGTCAAACAAGGCTCTGGCTGACGCAGTCTGCCTCCTGCCCCCGGCTGTTTTCCTGCTGTCCAGCCAGACTGCGCCTCCATTGCCCCACCCCCACCCCCAGCAGCCTCAAGCCCTTAATTCCTGACAGCTGCAGTGGCTGCCGGCAGAGATGGGGGAAGAAGGGGGAGTTTGCCATTAGCCTGCTGTTCCTCTGGTCACCCCCCCACCTGACAGTGGGGGACAAGGGAGGCCCCTCCCCTCTAATTCCCCAAGGATGGGCACTTCCAGAAATGGGTCCCTTCTGCTTCTGGGAGCCCAAGACTCCAGCAGCTCTGTCCCAAAGCCAGGAGGGGTTCCCTTCAGATAGGAGGTAGTGGGGTCTTGGGAGGGATGTGCCTATATAGAGAAGGAGGCTTGTGCCCACCTCATAGAGTAAGATGCTGAGGCCACAGCAGGCATAGGATTCATTATCAGGGCCCAGATTAGGACCAGAAACAGAAGCTAGAGCCTCCTTCCCCTCAACCCTCTGGTTCTCAGACCCTTGCCCTCTGTCATGGCGGAGCCAGTGTTCATTGAGAGACGGGAGAAAAGGAAAGAGTCCCAGAAGACCATGGGCAGACATGGCCAGGGCAAAACTCAGCATCCCATTTGAGGGCATGGGCAAGCAGCAGTCCGTGTTGGGGCCAGAGCTGCTGTGCTGATTCAGAACTCGTTTCCATTTCTGCTTTCACTAATTTGCTGTGTGACCTTAAATAAGTCACGACTCTCTCTGAGCCTCAGTATTTTCTTATGAAATAGAAGGGAGCTAAATAAAATGAACTCAAAGCCCACCTGAAAAATTAAAAGACTCTCCAATCCCTCCTCCCAGAGTGTACCACCCTAGGGTGCTGGGCTCCAAAACGAGCATTACTAGAGTCCTGGCATTTTTTCTTCCTTGTCTCACTGACCAGATGAGACTGGTCTCATTAGCCTCATTTCATAAAGCGGGAGAGGGAGTCTTCACCAGCAGGAGGCACCTGTTTAAGGTCCCGCAGCGAAGAAGAGGAACAGCCAGAGGCTGCCAAACCCCTACGCAGGACCCCACACCTGCATCCCACAGCAGGCTGCGGGGAAGTCCCTCCTGCAGGAGGAGAGGGAAACGGGGGACCCCTCCCCTCTAGCACCCGCAGGTGTGTGCTGGGCTGGGCTAGGCTGGGCTGGGGCGCTCCCAGCAGCTGCGTGCCAGCCAGGCACCCATACCTCGCGGTAACCCACAGCTTCTCCACACAAACCAGGGCGCCCCGCACACACGCAGTTCTGTGGGGAGAGCGCACAGACCCCAGAACCTCACCTTCGTCCGCTCACTGCAATCCGCCTCCCACTCCAGCCCCGAGCGGACGCAGTGGCCTCAGGACGCCTCCACACCCCCGTGTGACGTCACTGGGGTAGAGCCCTAAGACTGCATGGGATGGGGGGAGGCGGCGGAGCTCCCCGACCGGGACCGTCATTCCGTCTCCAGGCTGTGGGGCCGGGCACCGACAGCGCCATCCCCCCTCACCCTCCTTCTGCCCGCCTCGCACACCCTCGGAAACGCAGGCTCGCGGCACTGCGTTGGGGGGGGCGGTCCCAGCACCCCAGCCTCAAGTCCTCAGCCCTCTGCACCTCCGGGCCCCCCTTACCCTCAAGAGGCATCAGGAGTAGTCGCGGGGGGCCTCGGGAAATTCCCCGGACCCCTGTGCCAGGAGGTGCCCTGCTCGCCTGCTCCCCTGCTCCCCACCCCACCCCCGAGGGCGGTGCCCGGGGGCGCTGCCCCATGCATCAGGGAGGCGGGCGCCGTCTGCTCCTGGAGCCGTGACCCGAGTCGGAGCTGTGTGTTCTGTGTCACAGCCGCCCCGACCCCTGCCGATCATGCGTCGCCGCCCCTGGCTCGCCAGTCCCACTGGGCTGTGAGCCCCCCACGCCTGTCCCATCACGGCCAGCGCGCCATGGGCAGCGCCCACCCTCGCCCCTGGCTGCGGCTCCCACCCCGGCCCCAGCCTCGGCCTGCGCTCTGGGCGCTCCTGCTCTTCCTACTGCTGCTGGCTGCCGCTGTGCCCAGGTGAGCCCTCACCTCATGCTCCGCCCTCCTGGAGAGCTGGGACCCCCAGGGCAGGGACCTCTAGTGCTCCTGCTGGGGCAGGGACCCCGGAATGTGGGAGGGTCAGGATCACAGGGTCACTGGTGCCCAAGGCAAGACAGTGAGGTTCCTCCTAGGAGGAGGTTAGACTGGCAACAGAATATGGGCAGTGCAGCAAGACAGGGCAATGCCCAGGAGAATAGTGGTAACTAGAAGAAGTGTATGTGAGGGGAGTAACCCCCAGTCTGAGTGTCTGCCACTCTGGGGGAATGCACCCCCTCCCCAGAGTACTTTGAAATTGCCTTGTTCCATCTTGCAGATCACCCCCAAGCATGAGCATTTTGAGCTGGAAGGGGGTATCCCAGGTAGGGGTCAGTGAGACACTACAGCTGGAAAGGTCCTGTGTGTGTGTGTGTGTGTGTGTGTGTGTGTGTGCGTGCGCGCGCGCGCGCGCGCGCGCATGCGCACTTGCATGCATGTGTGAATGAGCCCAGCAAGCTGGGCTGCTAAACAGCAGTCTGTGTGGATTTGTGTGTGAGAGTTTGTGGATCAATGTATGGTAAGAGAAACACATGTATCAATATGTCTTTGATTGTGTGTGTCTGTACCTATGTCTGGTGAAGTGCGCGCGTGTGTAAGTGTTCCTGGGTCTCTTGTATCCACCACAATGTTTGCAGAAGTGTGCCTGGGTAACTGCAATTGTGGCTGTCTAAAACATGCCTGTGTATGCAGACATCTGTGCCTGGCTAAGTACTTAGGAAATAATGTGTGCACAGACAGAAGTGTGTGCATTTGCACATGTTTACCTATGTGGGTGTGCAGCTGGGTGGGTTGTGGGAGTGATGGAGAGCAGGTCAAGGAAAGGAGAATGTTTAGGAGTGTGCTGACGAGCCCAAACTTAAAGCAGGAGTTGGAGCAGAGGGTGATTATGGCCTTTGGGACCCAGTGTATATTATTAAATGGGGCCGTGATAGCATCCCTCCCCCAAAATGCTTATCCCTTCTACCTTCCCACATGCCTGTAGGTCGGCACCCAACGACATCCTGGGCCTCCGCCTCCCCCCGGAGCCTGTGCTCAACGCCAACACAGTGTGCCTGACATTGCCTGGCCTGAGCCGGCGGCAGATGGAGGTGTGTGTGCGTCACCCTGATGTGGCCGCCTCAGCCATCCAGGGCATCCAGATCGCCATCCACGAATGTCAACACCAGTTCCGGGACCAACGCTGGAACTGCTCTAGTCTGGAGACTCGAAACAAGATCCCCTACGAGAGTCCCATCTTCAGCAGAGGTAGCTGCCCCCCTTGCCTGTTCCTCCCCATCATATCCAGCACCCTCACCCCAGGACCTCTGTGCCAGCCAGCCAAAATCCACTCAGGCTAGCAGCACTCAAGTCCTCACACCTGCCAAATGCAATGCTCTCCTGCCTCTTTCTGGTCTCAGAAAATCCATGAGGTGCGGGTGGAGAGACAGACAAATGGGACAGATGTGGCCCTGGCTGAGGGTGGTAGGTTCCATGCCTGAAAACTGGACTCCTAGATTATCCTGCCCTGTCACTGGCACGGCATACCTCAGGCCCAGGAAACACTCTGTCACCGGCCTCAGTTTACCCTTTACTTAGGATGGACTTAGGATGGAGAGTCTGTGAGAAGGCACCCAGGATGGGTGGGCCTGAAGAGGAGGTGGGACTTCCCACCAAATGGTGAGGGTAGGGAAGCTTGGGCAGGTAAATGTCTGTACTTCGTGGCTGGCTGGGGCTGTCGGGGTACACCACCAGCCTCTGTGTCATCCTCACCGCCCCCTAAGCCTCTCTGAATCAGAGCACAATGGGTGTGTGCGTTCTTGTGTGAAGTGGCTCTGGCCCAGCAGGCCTGCCAGCCCTGCCAACCCCTGTTCTCAGTTTAGAGGAGCTGCAGCCCACTCCCTGTCCTCTCTGGACTGCTGGGTGACTTGAGGTGGAGGAGGTTTAGTCACTGGCTTCCTCTCACACTCACCTTAAGGCCTAGTATCTCAGACCTTGAATCAGGTCTTTGGAGCAAGATGGGGGGCCTGCCTCCTGTGTTGGCCTAGTGGGCATCTGTCTCCCTTCTCAGCTGCTTAGGTGAGATAATGTGGGGACCCAGTGGCCTTGGCTCCTTAGGACTTGTTCACTTCTAGTTGATAATGGAGGAGGAGAGGTACTCAAACCAAGTATCCCGGGGCTTGAGGCTGCTGGGGGCCAGGCTTCTGTATACCCCAACTTCAGGAAGAACTCAGAAAGTCAGGACCCTTCCTTTTTCACCAGGACTCGTGCTTGTGTCCCCAGAGCCCCTAAGTCAGAGGTCACCCCAGCTTCCCCCGCCCCAGCCCCAGGCCGCCAGCCCCGCCCCCACGCGCTCCCTCCTTCCTCCCCCGCACGCCCGGGGCGCTGTTTCTACCCAGCAGAGCCCAGCCCGGCGCGTGTGGCGGCATGCAGCCGCGAACTAATCCCCGCGGGCCGCGCAGACGGCTCCCGGCCCCTGCCGCGCGGCTCTCCACGAGGGCGCCCCCTGCCCTGCGCTCCGCCCCTCCCGGCCCTCCAGCCCCGCCAGCCCCGCCAGCCGGGCCAGCCCAAGCCTCGAGCTGTCCAGGGGCGGCGGCCCGGACCCCGAGATGCTTGGCCGCCCGTGCGGCTGACACCAAGCGATAGGCCTTGGCACCTTCCGGGTTCAGCCGTCCCGGGCTTGGGCTCCGGTCGCTGCGCGCCAGCTCCCACCCTTGGGTTTCCGGGTCACCCGCGCTCCCTGAGACCCCGGGGGCGGCTGCTAGAGCCCTTGCTTCTGTTTCTGCTCCCTAGGGGCTCAGACGAGCGCCAAGGTTCTCGCCCCAGCCGCTTGGGGTGAGGCAAGGCAGGGCAAGCTCTTTTCAGCCCTCTCCCCGGCCTCGCTCCCCTCGGGTCCCCGTTCCCTCTAGACTGAGTAAACCCAGGTGTCTCGATCGGTCTCCCGGTCCGACCCGTGCGGCCCGGTGAAGGACCTGGGGGTCTTTGAAGCTCGAGGGGTGGGGGTGAGCTCAGAGCGGTGCAACCGCGCGGGGTTGGCGCGGCGCCAGGCGCTCCCGGGTTCACCTGCAGTTTAATAAGCGGGAGGTGAGCTGGGGGGACTGGTGAGGGTAAAGGCTAGGGGTGGAGGGGAGACTTGCCGGGGCTAGCCGAGAGGGGCGGCGCCTAGAGCGGGGAGGGGGCGGGGCGGCGGCTCCTGGCCCCGCCAGGCGGGTATTGGGCTCCTCCTCTGGGCCTCGGAACTCCGCCCTACCTCCTGGGCTCCTGCTCCTCCGTGGTAACCCCTCGTTTCTACCTCTCCTCAAAGGGGAGACTCTGGACTTCTGGAAAGAAAACTGCTACTCCGCCTGTCCCCCTCTCACCTCTGCCTGGACACCATAGCTCCTCCGCCCCATTCCTCATCTGGGTCCGCCCTCCTCCAGGGTCATTTCCTGGTCCATCGTGGTCCATCTCATCCAGGACTAGCTAAGTTTAAATCCCACAAGGCCATTATGGTGACAGTCGGCCGCTGGCATTTTGGTTCCTTCCCCCAATCTCTCTTTTTTTCAAGCTATGAATTGTCTGTTGTGGGGTCCTGTGACCATGATTTCCCTCAAGTGGAATATCAGCGGACTGACCCTTCCTTCTGACCCAGGTTGCCAAAGGGATTCCCTTAAAGTGGGTTTTGTCATGTTTAAATTCAGAAACTTCCGGTGTGTGTGAGAGGGGAGTGGTCCCTTGGGCTTTCCTTAGGTCACCCTATTGGCCTGCCACCTTCCCTAGGAGATGGGTTGGGCTGGAGGGATGCATCTGATGAAGGAGGGAGAGGAAATGATGCTTGGGCACCAACAGTGGACAAGCCTGGGAATATAATGGGGCTTTACCTGGCCAAAGAGAGGTGCTAGAGACCTGCGAAGGGGGAGGGGGAGGATTGGGATAGGGACTTCCAGGGGATTTTGGAGGGCCCTAATCCCATGCTGTTTGGTTTGCCCAGCCCAAGGGCAGCTATGATCTAAGTGCCAAAGGGCATTGTATCCCCAGCTTTTGGTACTGAGGACCCAAAAAGGTTAGTGCCAGGCACTGGGCAGAAAGTCTGTTAGTGAAGACTAGAGAACCCCTCGATATCTCACTCAGAAGGTAGGGACAAGAAGGAAGTTTGAGGGAGGTGCTGCTGGGGGCTGAGTTTAGGAACTGAAGTGGGCAGGGCTAGAAGGTGAGAGATTCACAAGCAGGTCCCATACAGAGAGAGTTCTCATACAGTTTAGCTGTTGATCTCCCTAAGTTCCAAACCCATTTGGAATGGATGGAAAGTGGGCACCAGACCCCAGGGCAAGCCAGGTTCCCAGCCCAGGAGAAACCAGCAGTTTAAATACCTGGCCTCTCTTCTCCAAGGTCTGGCTCTTTCTTTTCCCACCTACCTTTTTTACACTGGTTTTACATCCAGGCCTCTAGGGCTTGGGGTACATGGTGACATTCAGATGGGAAAATTGAGGCACAGTCACATCCCAGAAGGTTCTAGTATTCTAATGACACCCAATAAATTAGCCAACATGCATTAAGCACTTGCTTTACATCGTGCATTGTTCCACTTTATGCTTTAGGGTCCTCAAACTGTCCCTATGTGGTAGGTCCTTTATTATCCTTATTTTACAAATGAAACTAAGAGAGATTGGGTAACTTGCAAAGTGAGGTCACACAGCTTGAAAGTGAGCAGTAGAGCTGGGATTATGCAGGCCAGCTGACTTTAGAGCTTGCACCCAACTGCCTCACAAGCTGCAAGGCCAGCATGAACACTACTGTGTGCCCAGAGGTGAGCTGGTGTGATGGGAGTGTGTACCCCAAGAAATGCAACCAACACACACATACACACACACCCCATCCATACTTGTGCCAATGCATAGCCCCATTCAGAGTCCTTTGTAAGCACTGTTGCATGTACACAATTTCTCTCTCTGTCTCCCCCTACTCCCCACAAATAAGCATGCACAGATTATTTGCACTGAAGGATGGAAACCAGACCTACTCTTTTCTTCTCCGAGTTGAATGGGTAGGGCTCAAGCTTCTCTAGCCTCTCCTGGTTCCCACTGCCCCCTTTCATCCTCTCTCCTCAGTACTCTCCTGCCCTCCAAGTCTCCATCCCAGCCCCTTCCTGGCCCTTGGCTGCAGCCTGTAGCAGCAGCTGACTCCACTTAAATGCTGGCAGTCCCTGTCCCAGATCAAAGGCAGGGCAGCTAATTGTTCGTCTTAACGAGCCCCCCCTTCTGCTCCGGGCAGCCCAGCTGGCCATGGCCCCACCCCTTCCCCCCTCCAGCTGGCCAGATGGCACTGTGCCTGCGTCTGCCCCAGACAGTTGGGGCCAGACCGAAACTGGGGCCCTGAATGGGAGCTGGGGGGCAGACTCAGTAGGCTGGGCTTCTCTGAGGCCTGGATGCATAGAGCAGAGGGTGGCTATGCAGGCCTTGCCTGATCACCTCTACAGGTGGCTATACAGCTGTCAGAGGCCATGAGGCAGTATAGGGAAAGGCATATTGAGCTACATGGGGTAAGGGTGTTCTCTGCAGGCAGGCTGTGGGTTACATCTATCCAAATTCCTCCAGGCCTGCCCTTGAACATGACAGAGCCTGGAAGATGGTGGTTGGTCGTGCAATCCCTCTCCCACAGGGCCAGCCTCTTGCTTTTCCCTGGTATTAAGCGTAGACTCGGCTATAGGAACTGGAAACTGGGCTACCTAGGTTTCTTTCTTGATGGCTAAGCTCCCATGGGACCAGTGTCCTTCAGCAGAAAGTTGAACTTTGAAAGCTGGTTGTGGGTCTGGCTCTGTAACCCCTGTGACCTTGGACTTTCCCATTTGCATAGTACAGTGTATGATTGGTGGTGGTGGTGGTGCAGGGTGATCTCTGAGGTCTGGGCTGCTTTTAGAGGTCTGAGTATTGCCATGTGTCCTAGAGCAGGCTAGTGACTCCCCCAGCAATAAGAAAAGTCCTCAGAGTTCCAAAGATAAAAGGCAGGGGATAAATGTAGGGTGCACTTCCCAGGGACTGGGGCCCACCCTCCCTCCCCTTAGGCCCCACCCTCCCTCCCCTTAGGCCCCACCATCCCAGAGCAGTTTCTGCTCCCCTGCAGCTCTTGCCAATTCCCAGCATCCCTTTGAAGGCTCCAGCCCAATCCCCATCTCCTCAGGTCTGCTCATGGCTGGGCCCCTTATGGAAAAATGTACTGAGATACTATGAACTGGAAAGGAAAAGGAATCTGCTTCCAGGGCTTCCAGTAGCCTAAATGATTTGCTTTAGAGAGGATTATGAGCCCCTGGGCTCTGTCTTGATCAGGGTGAAAGAAAAAACAACGGCCTGAAAATGCAGCAGGAATGAGTGGGGTCAGACAGCAGGAAAAACATCCCAATAGTAGTGAGAACTCATGTAGTATGTACTATGAGTGAAACACTACTCCAAGCACTTTACATTTAGTAACTCATTTAATTCTTGGAACAACCATGAGGCAAATAATAATAACAACCCTATTTTAAAGATGAGGAACTGAGGTACAATGAGGTCATGACACTTGACCAATGTCACATAGCTATTAACTAGTAATTGGAAAAGCCAAGATTAGAACCCAGGCAAACTGGCTCCAGAGATCAGTTCTTCTCTGCCACACATCTTGTATCATCATCATCATCATCATCATCATCATCATCATCATCATCATCATCATCATCATATTGTTGTTTGCTGTTGTTGTTCTTTCCCTGGGCAGGAAGATGAGGATGGGGCTCTGTGAGCAGAAGTGAGGTTTGGGGTAAGAATGGCCTAGGTTCTCTGTCTCATCCTGCTTGGCCTCTAGGGTCTGTATGCCCTGCAGGTCTCTGAAGCCGGGGTAGAAGAACTCAGAGTTTTTATTTCCTCTGAATCTCTGGCCTCCCCGAGGGTTATCAGCCTCCTGCCAGGTCCTAGGCTTCTCCTACAAGGGCCCATGGCACAGGTAGATTCTCCTCCCTGTGTAGGAACTATTCTTGCTGCCAGCTTCTCCCAGTGTCTGCCCCTCCCAGTGCCTGCCCTCTCTCCACGGTCCAGAGGCTGGGCGGAGATTTGTACAACAAAGTGCTCCTAGCTAGTCCTTTCTCAGATTCAGAATAAGCAAGAAGTAGCCTGCAGGCCTAAGAGCTGGACCCACCTCTGCAAGTAGGCCGCCCCCTGCCACAGGTGTAGGGTGGGATCACAGAGAAGGAAAGCAGTGTAGACAAGTAAGTGGGCAGGCTGGCCCAGCCCTGGGCCTCTGTGAATGGCTAACTCAGGGAGTCTTGTACCTTCTGAGCATCAGTGGAAGGTAACTTCCTCCTCAGTTTTCAGCACTGCTATAGGCTAGCCCATTGGGCCCCCTTGGTCATCCCTCAAATGTCTTCACCTGACCTTGAGAGACCATAGGCAGGGTGGCTGTGGGGTACCCTTTTTTTCCTTTCCTTTTCTTTTCTTTTCTTTTCTTTGATACTGGGGATCAAACTCAGGACCTCTCACTTTCGAGGCAGGTGCGGCAGGTGTGGCTTGCGTGGTGCCACTGAGTTTAATCCCTGGCCTTTTGGTATCCATTTCTGAGCGACTTTCAGGTATGTCTTGTGTATGAGGACAGGTACCACCAGGGAGGGTTGTGAGCTGGGCCTAAGCTAGGTGCACACCTGCAGGCGATCTTGGGGTAGGGCGCTTTGGGAATAGACTCCTTTTACTTATCCTCCTGTCCGCTGGCATCTCCTAGGGCCTGGCATTCCATCATTGATACTTTATTCTTTAGATTAAACTTGGCTTTCTTTCTGCAGGCTATTTTAAAATTGCAGGTATCACCATGAAAGGTAATAGATTAAATCCCTGATCTGAAGAAGAATGTGTTTACCAGGTGCTCTCTGCCCTAAAGGAGAGATCTAGACACACAAATTCCAAGCTTGCTAAGGGTGACATTCATGAAAAGGGGGAGTGTATGGTGAAGACCTCCCCACTATGACCAGCAGAATGCTTGGCTTTTGCTGTGATTCCTTCCCTTCTCTGACTCTCTCCCCTTGTACCAGATCCTCCACCACACTGGTTTGAAGACAAACTTGGGCAGGATGGACAGGGCATGAGATGTCGAAGCCACTCCAGAGTTCGTGTGTTTTGGGTCTCTAACCGCAGGTTTCCGAGAGAGCGCTTTCGCCTATGCCATCGCGGCAGCCGGGGTGGTGCATGCGGTATCTAACGCGTGCGCTCTGGGCAAACTGCGGGCCTGCGGCTGCGACGCGTCCCGACGCGGGGACGAAGAGGCCTTCCGTCGGAAGCTGCATCGACTGCAGCTAGATGCGCTTCAGCGCGGTAAGGGCCTGAGCCACGGGGTTCCGGAACACCCCGCCCTGCCCCCTGCCAGCCCGGGCCTGCAGGACTCCTGGGAGTGGGGCGGCTGCAGCCCCGATGTGGGCTTCGGGGAACGCTTCTCTAAGGACTTTCTGGACTCCCGGGAGCCTCACAGAGACATCCACGCGCGCATGAGGCTCCACAACAACCGAGTTGGGAGGCAGGTGAGAGCCCCGGCCCCTAGGCCGGATGCAAAGCCCTCGGCCTAGGGCCTGCCCCTCCCCCAAGCTACCTCTTCCTTGGTCCAAACTCCTCTGCCAACTCCACAAACTTTCCACTGTCCTCTCCTAATTCAGTCAACAAGCATGTCTTAAAGACCTACTATGCCCTGGGAGTAGCCCAGTATTACAGGGCCCAACCGACCCTTGCCAAAGACGCCCCCCCCCCCCCGCCAGCCTGCTCCTCTTACTTCCTTCAGTGATCTGGACTGGGGTGGCCTGCAGGACCTCAGGGGTCTAGGCCTGGGTCGTCACCCTATTTCCTTTACAGAGTGAGAAGGTGAAACTAGACCATCATCAGATGCTCCCAGCTCTAATGTTCTGTGGCGCCATGCGTCCTAGGTCTCATGTCCCCATCTGTTCCCATCCAGAAGGAGAGATTCCTGCAAAGTGAAAGGGCAAAGGGAGGTTCCCAGGGCCCAACAAAGACCTTTCTCCCCTGCCCTTGAATGTTCACAGAACCTCAAAGGTCACAACATTCATTCAAAAAAATTAAATACATAAATAAAAAGAAGAAGGGGAAGGAAGGAAAGAAATAGCCTGCATTTGTTTAGTGCCTAATGTGTTAGGTACTGTTCTGAGTACCTTATTACATATCAGCCCATTTAATCCTTACAGCTACCTAAGATGTGAGGTTATTAACCTCGAATTCAGCTAGGGAAACTGAGGCAGAGATGACTAAGAAGCTTGCTAGAGATGATGCAATCAGGGAGAGTATAGAGGCGGAATCCATCCCCAGGCAGTGGAGCTCTGAGCCTGTACTCATTTGTTGTACACTGCTGCATCATGAGCCCTACTGGTAGCTTAACACTCTTCTTTCCTGGAGATTGATTCCACCCCATCCCTTCTCTTGACCCTGCCCAGCCTGCTCAGGCCTGGATCCAGGCTTCCTCTATTCTTGCTCCCCTGGAGCTCTTGGCCCACTGCAGTTGTCTCCTGCCTTCACAGACTCCCAGCTGATTCAGCAATCCCCACTTCAACTTACAGGCAGGGTAAATTGAGGCACACCCACCCTCAGGTTTCTACCAGTTCCCACTCACCCCTGCTTTGTATGTGCATACAGCTCTTTTCCCAAGCTTCTTTACCACCCCAGCCTTACAGACAGTGCCTCCTCCTCTCCTCGTTAAACTGGTTAATTAATGGCTGCTGCCTGTGGGAAGCAGATGTTCTGGAGCTGTTGGCCCGGGGAGGCACTGGGCTGGTTCCCAAGTGGTGCTGACACCATGAGCTACACATGTGAGCTGCACAAACCTTTAAGACCTGGAAGGGCCCAGTCCCTCTCTTATGGTCTTCCTGCCTGGCTTCAGGACCCCAGATCCTTGCTATCCTTGTCTGAAAGTGTGTTTTTCTGAATGGCATAGAGAAAATGTGGATGTGGCCCACTTCCTGTGGGGTGTCTGGTGAGGATAATACCACCAGGTTCTTTGGGAGGAGACTGTAGAACAGGTTGAGAGCTGGGAGGGGGCGTAGATCCTGTTCCCATAGCCACCTCCCTTGGAGGCCTGGGAACCTCTCTCCACTTTCATGGGGAGAGAGCCTGACTCTCCTCTGGGTTGTGCTCTACCTTCAGGTAGAGCTTTGGCACCTGTTGGCACTCAGATCAGGCCAGAATAGGTCCCAGTCAGCATATTGGGAGGGGGTGGTCTCCTTAGGCCCTGGGTCCCCGAAGGCTGGGGTCGGGTCGCCATAGTGGAATGAGGTTTTCTCACACTCACAGGCTGAAGTGAGGCCGGTGGCTTTGGGCGTGGATGTTAGTGGGGGTGGCGCGGCCCGTCCTCTCCCTTCCTGGTCCCTACCCCGGCTATGGAAGGAGAGGGAATTTCCCTGAAGATCTGGCATCCCCCCTCAGGAAGCAAGAACCCCCATCCCCAAGGGCCCCCTGCAGCTGCTGGGAAGGCCGGCCGGAAGGAGGGAATTCCCCCAGGGCCTAGCCTGGTGGGAGGCGGATGGAAGCGCAGCAGAACTGCAGCGGGCAGAGGAGCGCTGACTGCTTGGCTCGGGAGCTTCCGGCCTCAATGTTTGTTTCTGTTCAATGGGAGCTGGTTTCAAAAGCCTAGGAGATTCCAGACCAGTCCCAGTGGCGGGAGAAGGGCAGGGGCCTGGTTTCCGGTGTCACCCCTTACGCTGCCTTCCTCCGCAGGCGGTGATGGAGAACATGAGGCGAAAGTGCAAGTGCCACGGCACGTCAGGCAGCTGCCAGCTCAAGACCTGCTGGCAGGTGACGCCCGAGTTCCGCGCCGTGGGGGCGCTGCTTCGCAGCCGCTTCCACCGCGCCACGCTCATCCGGCCGCACAACCGCAACGGCGGCCAGCTGGAGCCCGGCCCCGCGGGGGCACCCTCGCCTGCTCCAGGCACCCCGGGCCCGCGCCGCCGAGCCAGCCCCGCCGACCTAGTCTACTTTGAGAAGTCGCCCGACTTCTGTGAGCGGGAGCCGCGCCTGGACTCGGCGGGCACCGTCGGCCGCCTGTGCAACAAGAGCAGCGCAGGCCCGGATGGCTGCGGTAGTATGTGCTGCGGCCGTGGCCACAACATCCTGCGCCAGACGCGCAGCGAGCGCTGCCATTGCCGCTTCCACTGGTGCTGCTTCGTGGTCTGTGAAGAGTGCCGCATCACCGAGTGGGTCAGCGTGTGCAAGTGAGCGGCCCAGGCTCTCTGGGCCCTGGGAAAGCTTTCCCTCCTACATCTGGGCCCTCTGCCTCTTGTGATCCCAGGCAAGCACCACTGCCTCGGCTCTTGGGACAGGAGGTTGGACCGCGGGATCTTACAGGGTCTGCAGTCAGGGGACAGTCCAGGCCTGTCTGACAACACCGTGTACTTCTGTGGGTTCTAGGATTGATTGGCTCACGCCTTCTACCAAGCTCAGACTCCCCAGGGTGGCTGGAGAATGCCTCACATCCTAGCACAATTGTCAGCCAGGCAGCCCAGCCCCTTAGGCCTGTCTCCTTTCTCCCCTACCCCTAGAGTGGGAGGGATGGGACCTCATGAGCTGGGGGAGGAAGATTAAAAAGAAGGAATGGACATAGCGAGCTGAAATGAACCCATAAAGGCCCTGGACACCGTGCCCACTGGCCTCTGCCCCTTATTCCCCTCGCCATTCAGGTATCAGGTATTTATTTTGCACTCTCTTGGTGGCACTCCCTGGGGGGAGGAGAGGCACTGGAGAATAAGAGAGACACAGCATCTGCCTTCTAGGAGTTTACATTTTGCTGAGGGAGATGGACAAAACCAGTAAACACAGTCATTTCAGACAATGTTATGTGCTGTGAAGAAAATAAAGAAAATAAAGCAGGGCCCTGGTGTACAGTGCTTTGTGGGCCCCTTCTGATAAAAGGGGAAGCCTGAGATGTGATATTCCTGTGGTGACCTGCAAAATGGGACAAGGAGCCATGAGGAGATCAGGAGGTAACACTTTCAGGCAGAGACCATGGAAATACAAAAGCTCTGGGGGAGAAAGACCTCCACCTGTTGGAGGAGCAGCTAAGATGCCCTTGTGACTAGAGTGAAGAAATCAGAGGGCTGATGGGCAGGAGAGGCACTCAGAGGGTGGGCAAATGTCAAGTCACATGTCTTTCTAGGCTTAGGCAAGGAGTTGGGATTTTATTCAAAAGCAATGAGAACATTCAGGGTCTTAACAAGGGAGTATCATGGTCCGATTCCCATATGGGTTGTTGTGTGGGGAACTGGATGAAGGTGTTAGCTGGAAAGCCAATTAGGGGGGCTACAGCCATCTTCCAAACCAGAAATGAGGCTTGGATGGAGGCAGTGGAAATGACAAAAAGGGGCTGGATTCAGAGTCTTCAGTGCCAGAGCTCCAACCGCCCACTTTGTACCTGAGCCCTCTGCCACAAGCCAGGACGAGTGGCAGTGCCCAGCAGCAACCGTCAGTAGAGACAGGAGACACTCTGAGAGGAGTAATCCTGGGCAAGACCCAGCTCAACCCAGCCCAGCGCCCCAGGGAACAGGTGGGGCCAGGAGGTGCGGCTGGGAAGAGGGGGGAGGAGGAGGGGAGGGGCCCCAGACTCCCTGTCTGGAGCTGGGCTCTAGGAGTCAGGGCAGGAAAGTCAGGGTGTGTGATTTGTGAGCAAGGCCCAGGGGGCCAGCTTTCCCGGGCCTCTTTTGCTCTGACAGCCCCTGCACAGGGTGCTCCTTAGCAGGTCATAATCACTCCCTGCCCTCATGCCCATCAGAACACTGCTGAGCTGGCAGCTTGGGTCCTGGGTTGCATCTCCTCGGTTCAGACCTGATGATTTTCAGCCTCTCAGAATATCAGGAAAAGAACATTTCACCTGCTTCATCTAGGCTTCCTGCTGTTCACAGCTGGGGACCATGGTGGCTGCCTCAGTTTATCCCAGAATGGCACTTCTCTTGAACAAGACAAGGACTAAAGTCTTGTTCCTTTCCCCAATTGCCTGCCTTCCCAAGACTCCCATTTTCCCTACCCTTTTCCTATTTTTTCTGTACCCTGGATGGGGACCAAAAGGAAAAGAGGCTCCCAGCAAGATGTACGCCTGTGGCCCCTCCAGCTGGGAGATTTGCCCTCATCTCCTGGGCTTCCAATTGCTGGATCGAAGCAGCTCCCAGGCATGCCTAAGGCAGCAGGCCCTTCCAAAAGCTCAGCTCTGCCACTTTGGTGGAGTACAGGGTTTCTCTCCCCATCCCCCAAAAGACGGCCCTACAGGCAGGCGGGTGAGAGTCCCCAGGGAGAGGGGGTAGGCAGGAGCAGCCAGACACACCTGCCTCATTCCTTTCCTCTTGTTCACCCTGGAAGAGCTGTGGGGGCTGGGTTCCCACCGCCTTATCCCTCCCATTCCAGGGAGGAGGAGAGACCAGTGCTGGGGCCAACTGAGGTGTATGTGGGGTACTCTCACCTCTAGCAGTGTCCATTGGAGCATTAGCTGTGGCCTCACCCTCCTCTGCCTTCCAGGCTTATAGAGGATGGGGATGGGGCGGGGGAGACTGGAGGTGACAGCTCTAGCATCAAGTTAGGGAATCAGGTAGGAGAGGCAACCCTGCAGAGCACACTTCGTCTAAGAAGGGTGGGTGGCAGGGTGGAGCAGGGGCCCGAGCAGGAGTTGTAGGGGACACATTCTAATGAGTCAGGTTGTGGTGAGCTGATGATACATGCTAGCCTAGTCTGTAAAGGAGGGGAGGAAAAGTTGGGAGAGGAATGAATAAAGTGTTGCCCACTCCCCATTCTTTCCCTGACCCAGAAGTTGAGTCCTGAGGCCAAGGCTGGACCCCACAGGGGAAAGGAGGGTGTGGGACTTGGTAAGGGGCCTAAAGGGAGATGTATGGATGATGAAGAGTGGGAAGAGGGGGCTGAGAGGCGCTGGCCTTAGGCAGTCTGGCTGAAGGGTGAGGCAGGAATAGTTGTGCTGAGTGGAAATAGGAAAAAATGGGCTGAAATTAAGTGGGAGGGTGGAGGTGAGATGGGGAACACCAGAGGTGAGACTTGGAAATGGGAACAAAGGTAGCCAGAGGTCATTTGGAGAAGAGAGGACCATCCCCGTCTCCAACACCTTTCACCCGATGGACCCTAGGTTACTGCCTTGCAAGCAGAAGTGGGTCTAATGGAGCCCAGTTTGTCCCAAGAGGAGGAAATGAGAGGACTAACAGAAAGAGGGTGGTAGGTGGAGCAGCAGGGAGTGGTGGGGTTAAGGGTCAAGGTCAGGCAGCCGGCTGGAGCGGGATCCAAACCTAGCATCTTGCCTTTCAGTTGCCCAAGGAAGGGGGCGGGCACTCAGAATCCCCCCGGTGAGAAGCAAGGTCAGGTTCATCCAGGTTTCCCTTCTTCCCCGGATGAATGCGCCTACAGCTAGCCCCGGCAGGGGACCTTCCTCGCTGGAGAGTGGCCAGGCCCTAGTCGCGGTCCCCCTCCTCCCTTCCCGGCCCCCCTTCTCCTGTGGTTGCCGGCAGCTGCCTGCGGTCGCCCCAGCCCCTGTGCTCAAGGCACGGGGACTTTCCAACAGAGGAAAAAATGACTTAATGAGAGTGGGAGCCGGGGGCGGGAGGCACAGGTCCCTGTAATCACGGCTCCGCTGTGGGGCCTGCGCGCCTCCAGGCTCTTCCCTGGCTTCCTGCTGCCAGCGCCTTCCTTGCGTTCTGCTGGGGAAGAGGGACAGGTTGGCGACAGGGGGATCCCTTCTCAAGACCCAGGCTCTCTGGGGCCCTCCAGATGGCTTATTTCCCCGGGGCTCGCCGTATGTAGAAGCTAACGATCCATGATCCCTGCTATTTGGACCCAGTGTTTTAAAATTGGGACGTGTTTCTCTCTGGAGCGGGGGTCCTGTGGATTAGATGGGTAAAAGGTCGGAAAGAGAGGGGGCCCTTTGCCACTTGGCGGCTGCGTACTTCGAAGCGCTCCCGGTTGCCGTGGCAACCAGGGCAGCGGAGGTGTGTCCGCGGGGCTGAGGCGCTCGCCTCCCCCTTTTTTGCCGGCCCGCGGGGGTGGGGGTGTGCCGTTACCATGGCAAGGTGCGCTACGAGGGCACATTCTTCCCCAGGGTGGGAGCGCCCTGAGGATACGAGAAGGAGGGTTAGAAGGAGGGCGACGGGGGCGGCCGAAAGGGGAGCAGGGTGGTCAGAACATGGGAGGAGTCTCGGCAAGGCGGAGCAGCGCTTGGAGGTTGGGGCGGGGAGTTTGGAATCTGACCCCCTCCTGTAGCTTTCCCGAGGCATCCCGCTCTTGATTCCCCCTCGCACCCTTGCTAGGGTTCAGCGCCCAATCCAATTTCCAGGGAAGGGACCCTCAACCAACGACCCAAAGGCCTTTTGGGTTCTTCCGGAGCGAAGGGAACGCTCCCTGCCCGGTGGAGATGCAGGCTAGACTGCCTGCAGAAGCCCTGCAATTAATCCCCTCGCCCGCCCCTGCGCCGCCCGCCAGTCCTCCTCCGGGCTGGGTCTACACCGCCAATTACAGCCGCGCGCGGCGATTGCTTACCCTGGACCCTCGGGAGCGGCTGGGGATGGGGAGAGCAGGCAGGTCGAGGGGGCGGGGCCTCTGGGGTTTCACCAGCGTTGGGATTCTTAACTGGACCTTCAGACTTAGGCCTTTTAGTCCAACTTCTGCGCTCCAGAAGATATGGGAAGGAGGGATCTACTCAGTGCTCGGCACACTGTGCCTCAGTTTCTACTCCTCGATTGCACACCGCACTCATATCAGAAAAAGCACGGGGAGGACCTGGTGCGTGGTGTGGATGTTGGTGCGTCTGGCGTCCAGGGCTGGGCACCCAGAATTCGAGGCCCTCAAGGCCGGTTCCCTTTCTCACCGCCGACTGCTGCGTGGATTTCTTGGCTCCTCGCCCAGCCCCGTGGACGCCGAACCACCCCGAGACTGCTGTCAGCCCATACCGCTTTGGTTGGAATTAGAACACGGCGCCCCCTCTGGGCAAGAGGCTCCCGGTCTGTCCCAGAAGGGAAGGCAATCTGGGAATTCGCGGAGCATGGACAGCCATCACCCTAACCCCCTGCCGTCCCTTCTTCGCCGGCTACTCTGCAGGGGCTCGGGTTAGAGCTTCGCGCCCCCCACATCTGGCCTGCAGCTGGACGCAGCCCACTGAAAACTGCTGAGGACACGGCGCCCTCTGTTGGTACGGAGCGTCGGCGCAGCAGACGCGGCCCTGGGGTCTGGCTCTGGCGCTCCAGTTCCAGGGTCTCGGTTCCACCGATTCGGTATCGGTTGCCCCTGGGAACCATCCGCCCTCTGCCTCGTGTCGCTCCCAAATCCAACTTCACAGGCCCTTTGCTCTCCGCCGGCCAAGCCTTGCTGACCCTTCTTCCTGCATTCCTGTATACTTAGAACCCTGTCCGGCGACCTAGCTGTCCCCGAATCTCCCATCTTCTTTAAAAGTCAGCGTTCAGTCAGCAGGTTCTGCGAACGATCACTTCGCGCCCAGCGATCCCTCCGCTCCCAGCGATCCCTCCCCGCCCAATGTGAAAGTCCTAAAATAGGAACGTGATTACATAAATCACCGCCCATTTGCTCGGTGGAATGCCTCCCCGCGTCCTTAAAAATGAGGTGGTTGAAGTATATTTAGTGATTGAGACAGTGTTCGCTCTACATTTGGGGAGAAGGGATTCGAGACACAAAATAGCCCAGGGCAGGGCCCTTCTTTTATAGCAAAAGGGGGCGGGTGCCTTTTAAAAGTCTAATACAGGCATCAAAACGCTAACGAATTATTTTGGGTGGTTAAAATTTTACTCTGTTTATCTGCATTTTTATTTGCTTATAATAAACAGTACTTGGGAACAACAATGATTCTAAATACGACGTATTTTGGCAAAAAATGTGAACATGAAATTATATAGAATATTTCTTTTTTGAGACAAGGTTTCGCTATGTAGTCCAGGTTGGACTCAAACTCACTATGCAGGGCCAGGGATTTAGCTCAGTGGTTCTGGCGCCTGCCTCGAAAGCACAAGGTCCCGAATTCGATCCCTGGTACCAAAACTAACAAACAAAAAAACTCACTATGCATCCTAGGCTGACCTCAAACTCATGGCTATCCTCCTGCCTCAGCCTCCTGAGAGCTGGAATCACAGGTGTGCCACCATACTGCCGGGATTTTCTTTTTAAAATCAGTGGTTTGAAGTGAAAACAGGTTCCTTCCAACCTCTGACTCTCTGGACCCGGGAAAGCCAAGAAGTTATTAGGAAAGTCTTTTAAAAAAAATTTTGAGACAGGTTCTGCCTCATCCTCCCATAGTGCTGGAATTACAGGAATGCACCACCATGCCTGGCTTAGAAGAGTCTTCCAGTCCATATACACACCCAGTGCTGTCTGTGGCTGGAATAACTGATTTATTTTGCTGTACTTACTGCTTATGTATGAAGATGCTACTATAATTAACAAGATAGAAACTCTGTCAAACCTTAATATCTCTTTCTCCCTCTTCTTCCTCTCCAGTCTCTTTGCATTCACTCTTTCTTTGCCTTTTTCTTTTCTTTTTTCTTTTTGTATGGTTTTTCTTAAGATAGGATCTCGCTATGCAGTTCAGATGGGCTTTGAACACTATGTAGCCCAGGCTGGTCTCATGTGTACCACCATGCCCAGCTTTTTAAAAATAATCTTAAAGGTATGGAAAAGTTACAATTGTACAAAGGACTCCTCCCTTCTTTGAACCACATAAGAATAAGTTGCCTACATGATGACCCATTAATCACTAATGTGTTAGTATATATTTCCTACAAATAGACATTTTTTTCATAACCTAATGCAATGCTCCCAATCAGGAAATTAACACGGATACATTAGTAATATTTAACATCCAGGCCTTATTAGACTTTCATCAATTGGCCCATAATATGGTTTGTAACAAAAGGATCCGGTCCAGATTACTCATTGCATTTAATTATCTGTTTTTTCAGACTCTTTCCATCTGAGACAATTCTTCAGCCTCTCCTTTCCCTCTTTTGGGGATGCTGGGGCTTGAAACCCAGGGTCTTGTGCATGCTGAGCTGGCACCCTAGTTATATCCTCAGGCTTTCCTTTATTTTCATGACCAGAACAATTTAGAAGATGACACACTTGCCATACTATAGATGCTCCTCACTTTGCCTTTATCTGTTGTTTACTCTTCTGATTGGATGTGGTTTATGCATAATTCCCCTCCTCCAATTGGGAAATGGACCCAGGGCCATCCTGCTACATCCTGTTGCCTCAGCCTCTGGAGTACCTGGGATTACATGTGTGTGCCACTGTGCTCGTTGGGTTATGCAGCTTTGGCCACAACATTGCAGATGTTGAGTATTTTCCCCATTGCCTCATTATTTATTCTGATGCTCAAAATTTCCCAGATTTGGTCCAGCTACCAAGCTGGCTTCTATCACTGTAATACTTTGAGCATTTCCTTACTTTCTGGCATGGTAAGATGTTCCAGGCTCATGTTGTACTTTCTATGACCTATCCCTGCTTGGCATCAGCTATTTCTCCAAGAATCACTTTTTCTCCTGTTAGGGAATAATATATAGAAGCCAAGATCTGGATGTTAAATTTGCTCAATGTTCTTGGGGTGTCAAATGTTTCCGGACCATTCAGTGGAGAGAGGTAGGAGATACAGGTTTTACTATCTATCATGTATCTATCATCTATCAAAAACAGTTGAGTTCACCTTTATTTACAACACCATAGGTTTATTTTCATTTTCTCTTCTTTCATTTTTCTAATCCCTTTTAAGTGACCAGTTCCCTGTCACTGATTTTCTTGTTTCTTTGGTTTTTTTAAGATAGGGTCTGACTGTGCAGTTCAGGCTGGCCTTGAACTTGTGACCATCCTCCTGCCTCAG